ATGTGGTCAATACTATGTTGGTGAGACATGCCGACCTATTCTACAAAGATTGGGAGGGTACAAAAATACCTGTAAAGGAAGCTGGGTCCAACGGTCAGAAGTGGCCAAAGACATGGTAGAAACTGGATATGAAATATAATGTTCTTAAACTTGTAGGTTTCTAATTATGATACGTCTGTTGTACCTGGATGATTATTTCTCACTTTGGTCAAATGGAAGATAAAAACTGGAAGAGTTTCTGAAGTTTGTAAACAGATTGATGAAAATTGTTGGGATCTTCCTTGTCAATAGCTACCCAAGCAAAGTGATACAAAGAAGCATACAGGCCGTGAAAAGCCAATGGCAGAACGGGGACTATGAAAGAAAGGTAAGGACGATGAAGGTTTCCCAAAAGTGGATAGACCTATCTGCCTGCGAACTAACACAAAAACTACGGCCAATATTGAGGAAATTGAATATTCAGGTGGCCATTAAAGAGAAATCAACACTTTTGACTCGTCTACCGACACAACATGAAAGGGTAGACAAATTGGATTTTTTAGGAGTTTACTGTATATAATTCGGCGCCTGCGAACATAAATATATTGGCAAAACAGGGAAAAAATTAGCACACGAATCAAGGAACATCAGAGGCTATTTAGGAAAATAGATAACGAAAGATCAGAATTAGCGGAACAGATCGCACAGATTGGACACGATATCAATTGGAAGGCAACAGAAAGAAGAGCCTTATACGGTGACAACACAAGGAAGCGGAAGATTAGGGAAGCTATTGAGATTCATGGAGGAAAGAATCTAATGAACGGGAGATTGGAGGAAGATGAAGTTAGCGATAACTTTGCCTACTACTTAAGCAAACTTGGGGAAATCAAAAATATAGCAAGATCAGCAAAAATGAGACGCCTGGATTAAGGATCTATCGCTAACCGAAGGAAAAGAGATCGCGATGAGGAAATTGAGGTCCGGGGGTATTTGGCGATCAAGCGAAGACGCTGTCAGTGCGTGATATTTATTTCGAATAAACCAATACAATTTTGGGTCCTGGCAGTCAGGGAGTCTGGGCAGACAGATAAGCAAACGTTCACAAAAATTCGGCGTTATGGCCAAAATTGACTAAAAATTTAATTGAGATGCCGCATGCGACCAGAGATAAGTGTTTACAGTTTGTTCGCATAACATGGGTTTAATCATGGAGACGACCCGTTTAAAGAACGCCTGTAATCTGCAAGCATGGAAATCAGAGCTTAGGCGCTTTTCTCGGTGAAGCGGCAGTGTACGTGCTTCTAGGGCCTTGATAAATAGCGCTTGAAGTAAAATGCACACCGAGACTGGAACCGAATGAAATCGGTCAACCAGAAAGATAAGGAACGGATGTACGAGACAATGATGGGATCGGGATTGGAGGGGGTCGGGATGAATAGCAAGTCTGATGGGGCCACACTATATTTGCCACAAAAGGGCGCACATTTTGAAGAGTGGAATATACACAAGTGAGTTGGATAAGAAGGTAAAGAGTATATAGATAGGCCAGGGCAGAAAGTGGAGTGATGGTATAGCCGTTTTTGGCAGAACGTTTGTCGAAGGATTGACTTCACATGTCTCTTTTGACTAGTTCGTAGCTTGGTGTGGATAATTGCATAACTCACTGATGATGCCGACTACAATTCTGGCGAAACGTTTGAGAATGTACCAAGTCCACTGTCTAATTCTGGGAATCATGACAACTACTATGGCAGACTACTTCGGACTAGGTGCGTTCTACTAAGTTCCCAACTTTTAGTTCTTATAGTTATTTATGAAATCTTGTCATTAAGTTTACTTGGCTAGACCCACATTTCACAGATCATTTCTTCAGTTTGGTGTCGTAATATTTGCTGCTAACTTCTTATTATTATTACTTTAATTTCACTAACAGTTTCCTTCTTATCTAATATTACCCCACTCATCCATTTTTAAAACAATTCATATTGATTTGCCAATTCATTGTGTACGCTTTTCATTGAAATTTACGCATTTTCTCATTTGTTCTAAATTTTTGAAGCTCTTGGTTAATCACTTGTTTGGGGTATCCGATCTGCCGCTACACCATTTGGCTCACTGACGCACCTATCGTTTTGGCCCAGATTACAGCAGGTAACAATAACGCATTGGCAGAGTCTGGAACATTGGAGGGTGCATCTAACAGGCCTGTCGCCCCTCTTTGTACTCGATGTTCTCGACATGATCGCCCAGTCACCTTGGTCTCGTTTACCTTTCGTCTAGGCACACGACTGCCTAACGGCTATCTACAGGACTCTAGGGAGACCATGTAAGCCTTATGCAGCCTTTTCTCTGATCAAACATTTTGATAGACTTAATCGACGTTATCTGAAAGTGACTTGAGAATGGTTAAGGCAATTTCTAAAAATATATACTCGAAAAGATTGATAAATTTTGGTTTCATTTTAAGGGGTGCTTTGCCTCATTTGTTTTTTGACTCATTCATCGCTAATAAACGTGTTCTATTTGCATTGACAACAAAGTACAACTTTTAAAATGCCACTCATCCTGTTTCCTTTTTCTTTCACTACCTTGATGTTATGGATCCCTTCTGATAAAAGTGATATGAATTAATTTGTCATATTGGGCTAATAAATGCACGTACTTTTGAAATGAATAAGGAAGGCTTTTTATATTAAGTAGCAAGATGACTTGCTTTGACGTTGCATAGCTTTAAATTGTTTTGATTATTCTGGTGAGTTGATGTGATTCTGTCAGAATAGTGCGCTCTAATTATCTCTTAACTGGTTATCATCATTTTACATTGATATTTGCATTTATAAGAATTTAATTTGAAATCGCATTTTTCAAGAGCCTTATGTATTCTTGTTATTACTTGATTACTTCATTTGTTTAAACTGGTTCATGAACTTGATGGATTACTTACTATATCCTTAGACTTACGACTGGCTGTTGGGCCAGGGCAGATATGAATAGGGGTGAACGTTCCCTTTTACTTGTTAGTAGCACGTTAATCTGTCTTCCTTTCTCCTTTTTATCAATCATTATCTAAAATAATAAATTTAATTCTCAATCTAATCAGTAACCATGTCGTATTTTATGATTAGATCACTTTCACTCTATTAGATAATTCCTTATGATCCCTACTGCAATTAACACTTTACCAATTGCAGTAACGTATTGAGTTCCTTGTATCTTTTTTATCTCTACACACTTTATTTATAAACCCTCAGCTACACTACCTGCGTTTTTTGTGATGAAGACTTTCGTTCTGCTTTTGGAATTCGCCTGCCGAACGTTTCCACTCAGACTCTTGATATTAATGCACATTCTGTCTCCACCTCTTCCGAATTACCTACTGGTCGCTTCAGTAACAGCAGTGATGTATCCAGCCTCAATGTCGTCCACGGTGCAGCTGTGGGTAACCGGGCTCCCACGGGATCCATATCCTCATTGCGACCACCTACCCCCTCTGAATCCTCTTCCTCTTCCTGCTCCTCTTTTATTTCCTCACATACTCCTTGCTTGTTAGATCGGCCTGAGCGTCCTATAGATCCCGTGGTCTTCCCGTCTGGCACGCTTTCGAATTCAACAAGGTAAGTATGATTCCTTAATCTATTATTTTTATTTTATTTTTGGAGGCCGTTGCATGTACCTTAATAATTAACGTAGGCTCGTATTTAAATTGTTTCTTGCTTTAATACTACATATTCCTCATTTATTACTCCGTAGAGTAGAAAGCGCCTTTCGCCACATTTTTAATGCACTTTTATTCCATACGAGCGTATTTCGCGACTTACTGATAATAGGTGCCTGGCAATGAGATACTCGACACCACCCGTGCTCTAAGCTCCCTCCCACATACAGGTGGATGTCTAAAACAGCAAACATC